GTTTATTTTACTTCTTATTATCCTCCTCTGATTTTGCTAGTAATAAATCCACTTTGTACCTCTAAGTCGAGCCTGTTTTGCCCTTGGAGTGTTTTCTCCCTGTCCTTATCTCAACTCATGAATCCTTTGTTAATTTTTTCTCTCCTCTGCCCAGCTGTAACAGGAGGGTGAGTGAGTGACTTTGATAGGTGCCTGGCATTTGGCCAGGGTCAAACCAGGAAACCATAGTCAAAGGCAGAAAAAGCAAATTATGTGGACCTGTTAAACTTTATGCAACACACGTGTGTCAGGATGCAACAACTTGAAAGGGATTAGATCAACCTTCATTCCGCAAATCCTGCTTAACCTTCATGTAGCAATCATTTCCCTAAAAGCAGTCTGCAACTGTGTCTGAAAGATGGAAAGTGTGTTGAACTGCAAAGCATAATGTGTGGGATTTCACACCATCAGGGCTTTACCTTCTGCAGCCACGTTTTACAAAACAAAAGGCTAATGAACCAGTATTTAATGAAAAAGATTGAGATAATTCTGTTAGGTATAAACTATTGTCCAAGTCTGAAGCTAAGACTGGACTCAGTTGCACCTAAGCTCTATCAGGAGTTTAGAAAGCAAGAGGGAACACTCTGAACTTTGTGATTCAACAGGTCAACAGTAGGGAAGAGTCTTCCCTATTCTTTTTTTGTTGTTGGTCTCTGCGTAAATCATTCTAAAATTATTCTAATTAGATTTTTCTTTGTATGTTTCATCCACGATGGAGTGAAACATGTCACTGAACTTTATGTCACACTTTTATAAATATATATTAACCCCACTTTTGCTAATGCCTTTCATGATGATTCTTTGAAGGACTCTGTGACAAATGGGTATAGTCGGAGGATCCTAGATGAGAATTTGTGACACTCTGCTGCACTGGTTTCTCTAAGAAAATCTTCAGCTTGTTTCCACGAAATTTACAAGGCCTAAGAGCAATACAAGCAGAGAATATCCTCTCCAGAAACTGTTGCTGTATCTGTCACTATGCAGACCCAAGGTTATTTCTTTACATTTTCTTCATAATGACTGCATTGAAAGAGAACATCAAGACATGTGAGCAGCATCTCAAGAATATTTCGAAATTAAATGTGAGAAAAGTAATTTAGCTGATCTGGGGAACTTGCAGTGTGACAAAAGAACACCAGACAATCCTGACAGACCAAAAAAAGAACACTAGAAAATTGTCCCTGCAAATACTGTAGTTTTGAAGGACGGCAAGGGACCAGAATCATCAAGGCAAAGGATACCGTCTATAGGAAACAGGCATGCTGCACACTGACTAGGTAAAGCAAAGTTTTTCTTCACTTTCTATTTTCCTTCAACTATTCCAACCTTTGCATAAATCCCTGTCCACCATGCACTAAGCCAGGAGCCTGACTACATGAGGTGCCCGGTTTGACAGAGAATATCCTTCCCAAAACACTTTCGGCTGCCCAGCGCCTTCTGAGCGGCCTGGCTGACAACCGGGCCGTGGAAAAACCCCTCACAAAGCTGTGGCTGACAACGGGGCCATGGAAAAACCCCTCACAAAGCTCTGTTCGCTCCACTTTCTAACTCGACTGTCGCTTTCCTTCCTCACCACCGCGTCCTGTGGGGCAGGGTTGGGGCTTGGCCCCTGTCAGGAGCTGATGGTGTCTGCTGCAAGGGCTCCCTTGGATGTGAAAAAGGAATTTCTCGACACATCGGGGCTGGGAACCCATGCAGACGAATTTTCACAGAGGTTGCGGGGGTGCATTTTCCAGCCAAGCATTCCAGCGCGGACATCACCCACGGCCGCAGCAGCGGAAGGAAGCGCGGCCCGCCGCTCCCAGACGCTGCCGATGGCGCCGCGCATGCGGGGAGCGGCTGCCATGGCCGCTGTCCCCGCCGGGCTGTTCGCGCTGAGGGGTCCCTCTCCCTGAGCCTGAGGGCCCTCCCGGCCCCTCGCCGCCCCTCGCCGCCATGCGATTTCGGGCTAAGATCGTGGATCTCGCCTGCCTTAACCACTTCAGCCGTGAGTGTGCCGGGGCAGGCTTGGAGGGCGGCAGAGTCTCGCTGAGCGGCTGGGGCCGGCTTTCTCGGGCAAAGGAAAGGGGAAGGGAGGTGAGGACCGCAGTCCTTTCCTGGGAGGAGGTGGCATGAGGCGCTTTCCTTCGCCCCGAAGGTGCAGCATGAGCGGAAGGTTTTTGTGTCCCGCAGAGGCCAGGATTCATGGAGCGATCGCCGCTGTAATATCCTCCTTCCTTCCCTCCCTCCGGCAGGTATCGTTAACACAATCGCCAAGTTAGCCAAGACCTGCATCCTGCGCCTTACTGTCTGCAAGCTGTACTTCATCCTCTCCGATAAAGTAGCAAATGGAGGCGCCAGTATGTGGTGTGAGCTGAGCCAGGTGAGCCCAGGGAAGTTCCGTAGCCACATGTTGAAAACAGAGCATGCAATTTTGGTTTGATGTACGAGGTGTCTCTTGTTGCCCTCACCTTCGATGTGCCAGGTCTCTCAAGGTCTGTCTGGTTGCATGGGTGTTTCAGGTTGGATATTTCCTTTACCTTGATTGTCACTTCAATGTAAAGCTTCAGTGTGTGCTGGCCCACGTGGAAACGGGAAAGCATAACTCACAGTCTCACAGATTGATTAGGTGTTAGGGGAGGACATTAATTGGTGTAGTCTGAGGCCATGAGTCTTCATGGTTTTGTAGCCTGTTGTGATTACTCGGGTGATCCCAGGCAGAGGAGAGTTTCTGCTGTACACATGCAGTTCTAAGCTTAAGGTCTGACAATTAAAACTTGCTCCTCTTGTTTGCTTTATTTCCCAACTTTCAAAAATTGTAGGGGAATTTCTTCGACGAATTTCAGATGGAAGGAGTAGCTGCAGAGCATAATGAAATCTATTTAGAGTTGGTGCCTGAGAACCTGTCAAGAGCATTAAAAACTGCCCAGAATGCTAAGGCAGTGAAGATCAAGTTGACTAATAAACACTGTCCCTGTCTCAGTGTTGCTGTGGAGCTAGTAAGTGCAACCATGCTTTCACATTCATTATTAAGAAAAAGTTCTTTAAAAATTAGTGCTTTTCTAAGATCAAAGGGTAATATTTGGTTTAATTCTAGAAAACTAAATAAACATTGTGCCATTTTCCATTTCACAAGTCTTTCTTGCCATTATGGTTGGTAGCATACAGCTAAACCAGCTTTGTATTTTCCAAAAGTCAAGGAGGAGGTGGAGGAAGAAAGAAAGCTATGTTATTGAAACAACTTTTTCTAATGTCTGCTTTTCTCCATTCCTTCATCCTCTGTATCTTCTCTGGATTATTGCCTTTTCATTGAAGCCATTAGGTGAAGGAGGTTTCAGTGTTTGGCTCTGTGTTTTGCCTTTGTTTTTCCTGATTTTGCATGCTGACTTCTGATTCTTTTGTTGTTGTTAACGCTGCTGATTCACCTCTTCAGCTCTAAGGGTAGCTTATAGATACACTAGTGATTGATTCATCACAAATCCTTCCTCATTCATAAGGGCAACACACTTAAAAGCATATTGATAGGAACTGAGGGAAAACTGGAACTGACTGTGGGGCATGTAGTTATAGCATTTCCCAGAGTGGGTCTGAAGAATTTAAATTTAGAATTCCAGTCTTGTGTTTAACTGCAAGAGCATCCTCTTTTTCCCTCAAGCCATCCTTATCAAGCAGCAGCAGGATTGTTACACATGACATTCCTGTGGGAGTTATTCCTAGAAGAATGTGGAATGACTTCAGAGAGCCCAGTGTGCCGGACTTTGATGTAAGCCTCTGTTTTTATATTCCCTAATGAAAGGGGAGTTTGCAAGTGGAATGGTATTGCTACAGAGTATACTACTGGTAGAGTTTGGAAGGGAGTTGAAAGGAAAGAGGGAAGACTGGAGGCTACAGTTTTGGAGGGGTATGGAACATGGCTTCTATCCTGACAAGAGAGCCCAGAACCTATGGAAACAGAGCAGGTGATTGCCAATTGCTTCTGTGATGTTCACAGCAAAAGAAGGGAGGAGAAAAGGGCTCGCATGGCTTTAGTCTGGGGCACCTTTAAACCACACAAGTTTAGACTGTTTCAGCTGTTTAGGTGCCACATGGCCCAAATAATCTGTTCTTTCTGAAATTTATGGCCTATCTGGCAGAGTTAAAGATATATGTGTTTCCTCCTGACTTTTATATAACCTCTCAATATCCTTTTTGACTTTTAGCAGAGTTGCAAGGAAAGGTCCTTGTACAAATGTGCTATTTGAGGTTATAAATGTCTGTTACCTCTATAGCTAAGAGTATTTAGATTCTGAAGGCATGCAAGAAGAAACTTGAAGTATTTTGTTCTTTTATTTCAGATTTACACTGCTGCAGTTCCAGCAATTACTGCAGTATAATGGGAATCTTGTTCTTTCCTTTTTGGCTGTAGTAATTGACTATCTAGTAACAAAGATGTTCATATGAGAATCTTATCTTCAAAAACATGCCTCTGTTTTGAACAGAGACTTGGAATATTATGTCTGGAACAATTGCTAGAATGATGACCTGAAAGCCATAGATAACTCAGTCCAAACTAAGATAGAATTGAAAGTATAAATAAATGTGTCCCAATCACATCTGAAATACTTGTGTAAATGCAGTTCTTACGTATTCCCAGGTCAGTATTTACCTACCAGCGCTGAAAACAATGAAGAGTGTTGTGGAAAGAATGAAGAATCTCAGCAATTTCATTGTAAGTTAAGGCACTTAAAGCCCATGTGCTACAGATGTTATTTCATGAGGGACATAACACGTTGTCAAAACTGGTGCTGCCACATTATCTTATTTTGAGATGAGTTAAACATTGAAATCAAGGCCTGAATCCTGTGTAAAGGCCGAAAAGAACGATGGGATTTATTTTACTGAAGAGCTTTTCCTGAGCTTCTCGGGAAATTATGCTCTTTGTACTAAATCCATACACGAAAGAAAGAACATGGCATTGTGTTGCTACAAGCCACTCTTTATAGCTGGTAAGAAATGACAGTCCTTCAGAAATCTAGCTGCAGACTTTCCAGGTTATTTCATTAAGGAAATCACTGTTAAGTGAGTGTTGTGTTAGGTGTCTGTGAATGAACTTTAGGTAAACTTGATGTAGGGTTTCAAGGAAATTGTGCTAATAGCCCCCAGATGGCACACTGTGCTTTTGACTGAAGGTTGGATTTGCAGTCTACCCTGGATTTCCAGAGTGCTGGTGGGCCTTTTAATTGAAAGAAGCCCTCTACACTTGGACAGAAAAGGGTTTTATTTAGATGTTTTTGTTCACAGTCACCCTAATTGACTGATATGAAAGTCAGTAAGTGTAGAGCTTTGGAATAATTTGGGTTTGATGCTGTTCATACCAGTTTTGATAAATAGGAAATCTTCTGTTAACTAAGAGTCCTGAATTTGGAACAGTTTTGTTTTTTCAAGACTTGGAAGAGTTGTGAGATTACCCGGAGTTACTGGCAGTTATGCAACTGGAAGTCATCCTGCAAATACATGTCAAACTCTTTTCTTTTGTGAGATTTTTTGGGGGGCTTTGTTTTTACTTTCTTTCCTTCTCCCATGTCCTTGGTGGACATGCTTACACAAAATCGAGCACAGTACTTTTGTTTGTGGAGCTAAGGCTCTTTCTCAGACAGGAGAGTTGTATGATGGGATTGAACTTATACTAAGTGCCTTGATTTCATGCTGTTAGAGAACAAAAACATTAAGTGTCACAATTAATTATTTTTGCAAGATGCATCCTGGTAATAAAACTGGTCAAGATCAATGCTGTAAAATGGGTCTAGAAGCAATTTCTGATAGTACTTGTCCATCATTTGGGAGCTTAACATCTCTATTCTGTACAAGATTCTGGTTGCAGTACAAGTTTAGTTGGTTTTTTTTTAATTACTGAGAATTCATCTAAGCACAGAAATAAAGTGCTTAGTTGTGCTTTAGGAATCCTCTGATCTGCTTGGGATTTGTGTAAGACCATATATAATCTCCTTCCAGCTTTCAGCATGGAATTTGAAAGCTTTTAGCACTTTTCCAGGACTTCTGTCAGTTCAGAGTCCTTAGAGTTACTGATCTGATCCAGCTGTTGTCTGTTTTAAATTTTTGAAAGCAGCACTGTCAGCTCCCAGAGCATCCCATTTTCTGTGTGTGTCATATAGACTGTGTAGGTGCCTTTCTATTTGTTGAATGGAAATTCAGGAATCTTTGCATTTCTTCAGCTTCAGTCTCGTATTTCTGAAGCCTTTTCCTCAGCACATGAACTTCCCAAAGCTAATACTTGTTCGAAAAGTACTGGAGAGCAATTAAATTTCTTTATTTTCATAACTTCTGAAAGTTTGGTCTAGAATAATTCACATGGCAATGGTGAGAAATGCATTTCATAGCTGAACATTCAAATGTTCAAGCAATTTTCAGAAAGTATGGTTGACTTGCACTGAAGTACTCCTAGAATCTTGTATTTGAACAAAACCAAACTGTATTCTTCTGTAATTCTGCAGTGTGAAAGTGGGTTGTCTAAAATTGAGATTGATTGCAGGTGATTGAAGCAAATTTGAGCGGTGAAATGAACTTGAAAATAGAAACTGACTTAGTATCGGTAACAACACATTTTAAAGACCTGGGAAATCCTCCCTGGGGTAAGTTTCCCTGTTACCTCTTGTATCTGTCTGATCTTATTACTGAAGTGTGTTGCGTGTAACAGTACTTACCTTTTGTTCTTTAGGAAATAGCATCAAGTACTTTGAAGTCTTCAAATGAAATCTTAAAGGAAAAAGTAGCCAGTGGAGTGTCTTGTTTCATGTTTGGGGTGGTGGTGGGGAACCTCTTCCATTATTCTTGACAGTTTGGTAAGGAAACTGGGCTTTCTTTTCCTTGCACTGTTCTGAAAAGCAAGCCATTTGAGTTCCAGCACTTCAGCAGTTTTCAGGTGTGTCCTTATGGGTGTTGAAATTGCATTTTATGTTTGGACTAAGTGTTTCGCCTTTACACTTTTAGCATCAGAGGATGGATGTCAAAGTTCTGCTCAAGGCAGAGATCCGGAAAGTATGGCTGAAGTATGCATAGACATCAAGAAGCTGCAGCAGCTGCTTGCTGGACAGCAGGTCAATCCTACAAAAGCATTGTGCAGTAAGTTCAACAGCTCTGCTTGTGAATTCCAGTTAAGTAGGGATGTTTGTCATACTTAGTCTCAGCAGAATACCATATCTTCTGTTTGTCTGAAAGTCAACTATTTTTACTGTACCTGAGCACTTCTAATATTTACATTTTTAGGCAGTAAGATTCAGGTCCTGGGCATTTGAGGAAGAAAAATAAAATAAGTCAGGCCCTTTTAAAAGTCTCAAGCTAAATACTTAGACCCACTAAACATGTGTGTTGTCTTTGTTTTGAAGTTGTTACTAATTTTTATTATTTTTTTGAGATCCTATTTTTGGAAAGTCTTAAAGCCTCTAGCTTCTAACAGAGAAATTAGAATTTACTGGTATGTTTTTTGGTTGGGTTTTTTCCTTTGCATGCTTTCTCACTCTGATTGTAATACTAAAATGCTTTTTATACAGCTAGTGTTTCTAGCAGAAGTTTCTGCAGGGGTTTATATCCTAGTTTTATAACTCTGTGTGCTTTTCTTGAGAACATCTGTTTGTTATGGTTTAGTACAGATGCTAAGAATTTCCCAAGGAAGATTTAAATAATGGGTGCAGCATTACAAACCGATACACTATACTTTTTTTGATAACATCTTTCATAAAGTATTAATGCTTCACAGACTCTCAAGGATTTAAATTGTTTAGTTACCCTTCTGTCAGAAGTGATGGAAGCATTATTCTTATGGTGACGTCTTTAAAAGATGTAATTTTTAAGTATTTTTCCTGCTTTAAGGTGGATTTGTGTTTTAATTTTTTTCCTCCTTACAGATATTGTACGTAAAAGAATTGTCCACTTCATCTTGCTCCATGAGGAGGTTTCACTTCAGTATTTTATACCAGCAGTTGCCTGAATGTTTTGGAATTTTGGTCATTTTCCAACTTGAGGCCTCTTCCATCAAGTCTGAAATCTTTCCTACGTTGCTGGAGTATTTTGATGTGAAACACTGTTAGACACAGCCTTCAGATGGATATTATTCAAATATTTATGAAAGTATTCAAAATACCTCCTCATCCAGACAGACATTATTGTGAAGAATTATATGCTATGAAAGACACAATGCTGGGAAGCGTTGGTTATGTCTTTCTCTTAGGAGGAGCAAGACTGAAATTTGCCTTACCCACAGCTCAAAGCATTCCAAAAGCACACTCAGTTAAATACTTCAGTCTCCTTAAAAGACTAAAGGTAGAATTCACCTCTGGAGCTGCTGCTGTGTGTATTCAGTATTGAGCAATGCAATCCAAGTTAAGGGATCTCTGAGCAAGCTATCATACCTCCATGAAACTGGAGAGCCTTCTGGAGGGTTGCCAGATTGGTATTTGCCTGAACAAGTATTCACAGCCCTCCTGAAGTGGTACGGAATTGAATTCTGTTCCTTTAGAAATCTTTTGATTAGGCTTGCTCCAACATACCTCAGTAGTTCTGTTTGTGCTTACTCTTTGTTTACCTCTTGGCCTGAGAGAACGAACAAAACAGTCTGGATTACTTCGTTAATGTGAGCAGTGAAATTCCCTATGTACAGAATGAATATCGTATGAGGACATGCATGAGCACAGCAATTGGTGTGAAATAAAGAACAAGTTATCTGTGGATCACATTTTTTCCCTTTCCAGATAGAAAACATTGTACAACCTGTGTGTCATGGTGTTAGACATGGTGAGATTCCATCTAGGCTCTCATACCAAGCAGTCAAGAGCATGACTAAATTTCACTCATGGGAGTGCTGCCCCTGCTTCTACCTCTTAGTTATTTTCTGAGGTCTTTTCCTCCTTAGTCCATGTGCAATTTATTTGTTATCCTGGCATGTTCCACATAGCCTTTGATTGTTTTAGTGATTGAGTTTATGCTGCCAGATGAGACTGGGAGTTTCTTCTAGAAAGTTACTTGTCATGGTCAGAAGTGCTGGGGTTTTGATTGTTTTGTTTTGTTTTTTTTCAAGGGGCATTGACATTAAGGGAGCAATGAATCTTTTGTTCATGGAGTTGCAAATGCTCAACAGAAGGCTGAAGGAGAGGCAGTGGCAGTGAGAAGATAGACTAGACTTGCAGTGAGGGGTGTGTTGATTGACTTTCTATAGGTCTTTCTACCTACTCCCTCTTTGTTCCTCCCTGCTCTCCCTTGCCCTATACGTTGCTTCAACAGTTGTTTTATTTCCACCCACTGAATGCAACATTCTGAGGTACGCATCTGTTTGCTAAGTCCCATTTTGCCTGTGTTGTGAGTTGACTTCGGTAAGCCACTCACTCACTCACACCTGGTGGGATGGGGAAGAGAATTGGAAGGCTAAAAGTGAAAAAATTAATGAGTTAAGGGCAGCTTAATAGGCAAAGCAAAATACAGAATTCATTCACTACTTACTGTGAACGTCGGTGTTCACCACTCCAAGGAAAGCAGGGCTCCATCGTGCTTAACACTTACTTGGGAACACAGACTGCATAACTCCAAATACCCTTTTCTTCCTTCTTTTCCCTAAGATGAATGTGATGCTGTATGATATGGATATCCCTCTGGTCAGCTGGGGTCAACTGTCCCAGCTGTGTCCCTACCAATTTTTTGTGCAGTGTGCTAGTGGGGCAGTGTGAGAGTAATGCCTTGGTGCTATATAAATGCTGCTCAGCAATAACAAAAACATAGCTGTGTTATCAACACTGTTCTGGTCATAAATCCAGAATGTATGAGCTGCTTGAAGAAAACAAATTATATCACAGCGAAAACCAATGTAGCCTGCTGTTTCTTGATAGCCCAACAATTACTGTGATCAGATATTTTTGGTTCTTTTTTTTTTCTGGTTACAGAAAAATCAATCAATCTATCAGGGTTTATATCTGTGTTTGCCTCCTTTGTTTTCTTTTTTTTTAATCCACTATAGGATGTGATCAATCAGATAACCATGGAATTAATATTCTAACACTCTGGTACAGATGACTTCTAAAATACCTACATCACTTTTGTGTCCCTTGGTGTCCCTTCAAGTTTTTAGTTTCCTTCTCCTAACCCGTTTTTTGGCATGGTATGGACACTTAGAACCCTCTCTTGTTTTTCTTGCTTTTTGGTTACTTACGTTACTGATCTTTATGCTGTATTTGTCAAAGACTTTGCATATAGTCTGATTTTCTTAATGTCGCAGCAGTTAAAAAAGAATGACATTTTGATTAGAAAAATAAAACGCTAGAGGGTGCTAAAGAGCTGTGGAAAAATGTATTACTCTGCATTCCTAAGAAAAAGCTGGGAACAAGGTGAGAGGGTTGCAGGGGCAGATTGCCAGTGACTAAAAACAGGACTGAAATTATTTCAACACTGTATGCTATGGAAAAAATACTGTTTCCAGAGCAGGCATCATGAATGATCCAATTAAAATCATTTAGGCATAGAGTCAGAGATATGTTGCACACAGATTAAGTGCCTAAATAGCTTATGTGATCTGGACTTAAATACCTCTGCTTCAGTTCTTCGTATGTAAAACAAGAACCTTTCTACTATACAGCTGGGTGCAATATGTGATGAATAAATGCGTGAAGGATTTCTAGTACACTTGGCTTGTCTGATACAAGCTTAAATTTAAATTCTAGCCTTATTAATGCAGGGCCATCTTTATGTCAGGGAAACAGACTATATTAGTGTGTGTGGGCTAGTACTATAAATGTTTGGCTCTTCTTTCTTTAGACTGGTAATATGCAAGTGTTCAACTCTTACTTATGTAATAATTAATCTTCCGTTTTGTGATTTTGTGATTCACGACAATCTGAAGCACAATTTATTGCAGTTCATTAAAGGAGTGTTGGACTTTCCCACTTTTCATACCAGATCATTGACTAGTTGTTTTTTCTTAACACTTAACAGATGTGTATTTTATGAACTTTAATGGTTACTGTCATGTCATAGCTATGGAAGAAGCCAAATTGGAGATGATTGCCTTCTGCAATGGGATATCTGACTGGATAAATGAAGGGAGAGCAGTGAATATGGTCTTCTTGGGCTTCAGCCAGGCTTTTGACACTCTGTGCCTTGACATTCTGATAGGCAAGCTCAGGAAGTGTGAGCTGGATGAGCAGATGGTGAGGTGGATTGAGAATGGGCTCTATGGCAGGTCTCTAGAGGCTTGTGATCAATGGTACAGGGTCCAGCTGGAGGGCTGTGGTGTCCCCCAGGTGTAAGCACTGGATCCAGAAGTGGCCAATACCCCAGAATGTTGTGCTGTCGTTCAGAAGAATCTGGACAGGTTGGAGACGTGTTCAGAGAGGAACCCTCTGAAATTCATCAAAGGCAGGAGCAGGGTCCTTCACCAGGGGAGAAAGAGCTGCATGCACCAGTACAGGCTGGGGCTGAGTTGCTCTGAAGCAGCTCTGGAGAAGTGGGTCATGGTATGCAATAATCTGTCCATAAGTCAGCAGTGTGCCCTTATGTCAGAGAGCCACTGGTAGCTTGGGGTGCATTAGGGACTGTGTCCAGGAGGTCAGGAGAGGTGATCCTGCCTCTCTGCTCAGTCCTGGTGAGTCCACATCTGGAGTGTTGTGACCAGTTCTGAGCTCCTGGAGCAATTCCAGAGGAAGGCATTGAAGATGAGGAGAGTACTGGAGCACCTTGTTCATGAGGAGAGCCTGAGGGAGCTGGGACTCCTCTTTAGGCTAGAGGAGAGCAGACCGAAAGGGGATTTTTTCAATGTCTGAAGTATATGAAGGGAGGACATCAAGAGGTAGGACCAAGGCTCTTCTTGGTCATGAGCAACAGGATGAGAAGCAGTGGGCAGAAACTGGAACATGGGATGTTTCACCTGAACAGGGGAAGGAACCTCTTCTGAGCACTGGAATAGGCTGTCCAGAGAGGTTGTGGAGACTCCTTCCCTGGGGGTATTCAAAAGCCACCTGGACAAACTCCTGATTAACATGATCTAGGGAGCCCTGTGTGAGCAGGGAGATTGAGCTAGGTGTCCCACTGTGGTCTCTTCCAGCCTTACCCATTCTGTGATTCTGTGATCCCTGCAAAGCTTGTTTCCCCCAGAGGTCTTTTGGTTTTGCAGAGTCAGAGATTCCAGAGCATTTTGGACAGGAGGGATGCATTCAGTAGTGTGGAAGTAGGAGACCTGGAACACGTGAAACACATTCTTTCCTTCATTCTAGTCTGTAGATACCTTTTTTCCGATCCTACTTGGGGAAAATGTTTAAGAAAGTAGAGATAGGGAAGACCACTGCGGTTTATTAAATCTCCACCATAGAGTATGTCAGCCATGATGGCTCCAAGTCTTTCCAGAAATAATTCTCAGAGTATTCTCTTCTTTGCCTGCTTCATGTAATGCATCTGAGCTGCAGCCCTCCAGGCAGGGATAGCAGCAGCTATAGCATCAGGTCTTGAGACACAGAATAGAAAAATGAAGTGTCCTCTATCTGCAAGTGATGCTGTTAAAGGCAATTTTGGTTTTTTTGTTGTTTTTTTTTTAATTTCTCAGGGAACCGTAGTCTTTGCTGCGATGCTTTTCTGTCTGCCTCATAATCCCTCTGTCTCTGGGAGATAGGCAAGACGTTTTAAACTTACTCTATATGTATCATATCATGCGTCTTCAGTACAGTTTCTGTGAGTGAGCTTCCATTCTGAGTCTTTGAACGTTTCCCCTTGCAAATTCACCGAGTCCTTCAGGTTAAAGACTCAATGCATGAAAATCTATAAGTTTCCATGATTGAAATTACAATTGATATCAGATGGACAGCACAGAAGACAGTTGTCCTAGGGTGACTTTATGATGCTTGTATCCCCAATCAACTGTTCTGTTTATGCTGGATATTAGTTCTGCACCTTTAAGACTGGTTCCGAGAGCGAAGCGGGGGAGAAGAAGCGCGGAGTTTGTTTGCAGAAGCTGCGCTCACTCCCCCGCATTCCTCGCTCTCTCTCCGTGTCTTCAGCACGGACAGGCAGTAGGAGAGAGCTCTCCTTTGCTTTTAGTTAGTTTTTTTTAGCTAGTTGAGGCAAAGAAGTTCCCTGGACTGTGGCTTTTCTTTTTCTTGGAACCAGTCAGCCCTGCTCCGTACTGAAAACCCAGAAGAGCACCAGGAGCACCTGTGTCCCACCGGGGCCTGGGATGCGGCATTTTCCAGTGCAGGAGGAAAGTGAGCGAGCCGAGCTGCACCCCACGACAAGAACTTTCTGAATTTGCCATCCCTTCAGGACAGAGAGAGGTTTTATTGTTTAATATTATGCACTTTTTATGCTTCTGATGCTATGCTATGCTTATGCATATTTTATATTTTACTTATTAAATAAACAGGATTTTTCTACTTTTCTCCAAGGAAATCTTTTCCCGAACCAGTTGGGAGAAGGGCCGCTTAAATTTGCTTTCTAGAAAAGATCACTTCAGAATTTCCTCCCAAATTTGTCTCAAACCAGGACAATAAGGAAAGACAGATAGAAGATTGGCCCACTAGAGGAGAAATGAATTATTAACTCCCTCAAGTATGGTATATGTTGCTAGAGTTGTTAATATTTTAATATGAGATGCCCACAAAAAGTTATTTCCTTCATTCTGCAATAGCCTGGTAGTTGCAAGGCATGAATATATTTACAGAGAGGACAGAGGAGGCTGCAGAGACCTTATTCACTTGGATTT